GGAACCTCAAGCCATCGTGGGATGGGGGCCCTCCATCCAGCAACCCTTAAAGAACGGAATGCTGCCCACAACTGCATACGTGATCTTGGAAGCCAACCCCTCCCCACTTGAACCTTCAAATGAGAATCCAGCCCTGGCCAACAACTGGGTTGCAGTCTAGTGAGAGACTGTGAAACAGAGGATCTAACTCAGCTGTACTCAGATTCCTCACTCAGAGAAACTGTAAGATAAGAAAGGTAGGTCACTTTTAAACCGCAAGGTTTAAAGGAAGTTGTTACATGATGATAGGTAAGTCATAAGGTAGACAGATATAAGTTTATATTATTTCATGAAAATTCTAGCAATCATAAACTTCTAGACTCAGATAAAATTGCTTAGGATGAATTAGAATTTTACTTTTTTCCCCTCCTTTCTATAAGCAAGAGATTCCACCTCCTCCTCAGAATTGAGTTGCTAATAAAAGAAGAGAGGGACAATATTTTATTGAGAAGAGTAATAACATAATAGTAGCTAACATTCATAGACCACTTTACTAGGCAGCACTCTAAAAACTCTAAAAACTTTAGCTCTATTAATTCATCTAACATTTACAACACCCCGCCCCCCCGCCATGTGGTAGATAGCCATTATTATTCCCATTGTGCAGAGACAGAAAGTTCAGAGAGGCTAAGTCAGTTGTCCAAGGGTACGTAACTTGTCTTGCAACACGGTACCGAGCATAACTTCAAATGATCTTCTAATCTACTCTCTGAAAGAATCTTGCAAGTGGGTGGGACTGGGGCTTTGACCAGGTCTGACTCCAGGCCTCACCTTTTCTGTTACATAATGGTAGACTTACCAAACAAACTTAATAATAATAATAGTAATAATTACAATTAACATTAATACATGTTAGGCAACAGGCTAAAATGAAAGCGCTTAAAATCCAATATCTTATTTGGCTCCTTCAAACCTTGTGACTTAGCTAGGCTTTATCCCCTCTTTAAAGAGAATGAAAGAGAGGTTAAACTAGGGATTTGCATTGTAAATGGAGAAAACAATCCTTAGCTCATAGGGTGATGTTGCTGGTTGGAGTGTGGCCCCCCAAAATGTATGCTGAAATCTTAACCCCCGGTATATCAGAACGTACCTTTACTTGGAAACAGGGTCACTGTAGATGTAATTAGTTAGATGAAGTCATACTGAAGTTTTAATTAGGTAAGACAAAGGTCATACTTAATCTAATAAGACTGGTATCCTTATAAGAAGAGACACACGCATACACGGAGGGATACTATGATGACCACGTGAAGACAGGGGCACGACTTGGAATGATGCTACTACAAGCCAAGGAATGCCTGGAGCCACCAGAAGCCAAAAGAGGCAAGGAAGGGCCCTCCCCTGGAGATTTCAGAGCAAGCCTGGACACACTCACCCCTTGATTTCAGGTTTCTAGCCTCCAAACCTATGACAGAGTAAAATGTTAAGCCACCCGTTTGTGATACTTTCCTATGACAGTCCTAAGTAACTGACTCAGGTGGTTTAAATGTTAAATGAAAAGCCGTTACATTCAAATTCTGAATGGAGAGAGTACAGGCGTACCTCCTTCTGTGGTGCTTCACTTCGTGCTGCACAGGTACTGTGCTCCTTTACAAGTTAAAAGTTCGTTGCAGCCCCGACTTGAAGCTAGCCTATTGGTGCCATTTTTCCAAAAGCATTTGCTTACTGCTTGTCTCTGTGTCACATTTTGGTAATTCTTGCACTATTTCAAGCTTTTAAATGACATTTGTTATGATGACCTGTGATCAGTGATCTTTGATGTTACTATAGTAATAATGACTTACTGGAGGCTTAGATGATGGTTAGCATTTTTCGTAATGAAGTATTTTTTAATTAAGGTATACACATTTTTTTAGATAATGCTATTGTACCCTTAACAGACTAGGTGGGGAACCAAAAAATTGCTGTGGCTTGCTTTGTCCTGGTACTCGCTTTAGTGCAGAGATCTGCAACTGGAACCACTGCATCTTTAAGGTATGCTTGTATTTAAAGTGCTCCACAAAGAACATTTTTAAAATGTTTCTGTGTATGAGGAATGCTAACATTGTACCAAGGTATGCAAAGTCACACAATTAAAATGAGTGCGTTTTCCTTGGGTGTGTATTTCACTGTGAGATTTTTGCAGTCAGTATGGTAATGAAGTGGTAAGTAATTTGAATATTAAAAAAGAAAGATAGTCAAACACAGTATTGTTTACGAGAAAAGAAAGAGCTGTCAGAAAGACCCGTCATTGTTGTTATTATTGTGTAAAGGCACACTTGAACTGCATCCCCAGACTATCAGGAGAACCATTAGCTCCTCTCTGTGACGGGGGTCACGTCAGTATAAAAATATCACCAGTCCTGACCTGAGACTTTGGGCTGGTACCTGTGTTTTAGGGAGCGAACAGGGTGCAAACTCCCTATCTGGTCTGAGGAGAGGGTATAAGTAAGGTCTCAAGGCCGGGGAGAAGACATTTGACAGCAGCTCCCTCTCTCCCCGACCTGACACGAGGGCTGGCAGAAGTACCCCAGGCCCCTGTCCAGAGTGGCTGCTTGCCATTCTGGTGACACAGGCCACAGTGAGTCTCCAACATGGCAGACACCCAGGGCAGAGGACAATCCGGGCTGTTCTCTGGTGACGTTGCTCAAAACAGGTCATCTGAGTGCCTTTGCCTTGGCAGGATCATGCCCTGTGGTCATGCCAGCTGTGACTTGACCTGGATTCCTTGAGTTCCTAAGCAGTGTCATCTCTTCTCCCTTTGGAGTCTTACCAGCAAAACTTCCTCCCAGAAAAGGAGAGCTGGTGTTCAAAAATGCGGGTAGTCTTTAGGTGGTGGTTCAGAGCATGCCATGGGCCTGGCTGGCCTGCGTTTGTACCCCAGCCCTGCACTTCCCGGGAGGCAACTGCAAGTAAGCTAGTTAATCTTGCTGAACCTCAGCGGCCTTTTTGTAAGATGGAGCTACAGATTTCTATTTAAATCTTTGCTGAGGGGATTAATTCTGACTTGTGACAATATCTGTGAGGTACCCAGTATCTTGCTGGTGTGCCAAAAATGGTTGGCTCTTACCCAGCTGATCCCACTGGGCTGTTCTGCAGCTACAATGAGTCCAGGTCAGACAGGGAATGGGATTTGCCAAAGATCACATTTCTGAGTCTGACTCACTCAGCAACTCTGGGTACTGTGCTAACAGATATGACAACAAATGGGTGTTGCGCTTCAGGGATTTCACAGCCCAGTGGTGAAGATCGCAAGGCAGTGGAGAATTCAAGCCCAACCAGGTAAGTGCTTGGTGAGAAATCACCAAATTACAAGCCCTGGTGCTGGATGAGCATGCAGTGAGCATCTTGGAGTTCTCAGGAGCCCAGAAAAGTAGAAGCAGCAAGCACCTCTGCTCTCCTGGCCCTGCAAGGGTCTGTCTGTACCCACTGTCTATGCTAATTTCAGGCAAAACCTGCCCCAGGGCCTTTTAGTCCCTGACTGAGCTCCCTCTTCAGGCCACTCCTGGCCTGTCTGGTCAAACCCTGGCTGGCCCTGGGTTTTGCAAGCCTACCCTTGACGCCTCAGATAGGCCCGGAGCTCTATGCCAACCCAGGCACACAGAGCCCCTAGGCCTGCTCAAAGGGGACCACGAAATATACCAACCCAGCCTCTCGATTTCCCCACTATCTGAAATTCTGGGAGCTGGGGCTTCTGGGACCAGCAGCTCAGAGACTGTAAGAGCTAACTACAATGTATATATTTACCATTAATTAAATATATATATTTACCATTAATTAAATGCAAACCACTATATAGTAATAATTTTAGTCCTTATAGCAAACTTCATTTCCATTTAGACATAGAAAAATTGGCAGAGAGATTACACAAGGTTAAGAGGGTAGATTCTCATGTAGAATTGGCTCCCAATCTGGGCTTTATACTCATGAACATGTGGCTTTGTCATTTAATCACCTGGGCATCAATTGCTGGTCTCATAGGGTCTTAACAAGGATTAAGTCGGCCGCCCATGTGAAGTGTTCGGCTACAGGCAGATACAAAGTGCTCAGAGAGTATCTTTGTTACTGTTTTTGTCTGTTGTTTTGTCATTGTACTAGGTCCTACACCTAGGTAGCATTTCAAGTCCAGTCCATTGTACATCAAACCCCTTCCTGCTCCTAAGCTAAACTATACAGCCACCTACAGAAACCAGTAACTGGCCCCAAACTAAGGTGCCGTGGGTCAAACTAAGGGGCGCTAAGGTGCCCTAGCCAGCCAGTAGGCCAGACCACTTCTCACTTGAGAAGACCCTACCCTTTCCCTGCTACCCCAAAGCTAGACCTGGGTTTGAGTTCCTGGGTAGCTTCAATCTGCAGGGACAGGAGCTACAGAGTCTGTTCCCATAACTACGTCTGCTGAGGGTGCCTCCTGAGTAAGTAGGCAAAAAACTCCTTCAAAAATACAATTTGTTCATCAGATACACTTGTCTTTAGGCTTCTGCATGTCGCTAGGAGAAATAGGGGTCCAGAAGCACCACCTTTCTAAGCGAGTCCAGGTTCTGTCCTTGCCCCAGGGTGGAGCTTGTACTCTTTCCTCGGCCTATTTCTCAGGATGCAAAGCTGAGGTTCAGACAGGCCATCGTGTGAGGTGCCATGGCTCTGCTAAGGACCTCTCCTGGAGGTCATGGTTTAGCAAAGGGGTTAAGACACAGATTGGAGTAGGGTTTAACTCCCGACTCTCTGAGTGAACATAGGCAGTCCCCTTTCACCTCAGTTTCGTTATCACTACAACAGAGATAAAGCTCAGTTAGGTGTTGCCAAGGCCCACAGCTCTCAGCTGAGAGCTTGCCCCTACGTGGTTGCTGGGGCTCGGAGTACTCAGATCTGACGGACTACAAACCCCAGCATGCCTCAGGAAGCAGGTTCCAGTGAGAGACAGCGGGCTCTGCGAATCGGCGCCTGCTAAGGGGGTTGCTGCTGCGCGTGCGCAGAGGGCAGCGGGTGGGTGGGCTGGAGGCAGTTGACGCGTTGGAGCCGCTGGCGGTCAGGTAGGGGGCGGGAAGGAGGGTCTGGGGACCAAGGACCACCGCTGGAGTCACGGGCCACGGGTGAGCGGCAGGGTGTGGAGGTTGTGTAGCGGCCGTCTCACGCCTGAATGGCAGGGTATGGGACCGGATCGGAGGGGCAGGACCAGGGTGGGGGTGGGGCTGTGAGGGGGCAGGCAAGCGAGGGACTCGATGGGACCGAGGAGCTCCGAGGACGTGCTTCTCTGGGCGGGGAGCAGGTGGCTCTGAGAAGCTTTGCGGTGCATCACGTTGGGAGGTATGCGGTAATGTGGGGGCTCCAAGGAGAGACGCGGTGCAGCATCTGGGAGATGGGAGGGGATATGCAGGCCTTGGAGGGGTCAGGGTGCAGCAGGATTTCGGGAATATGAAGGAAATCTGGGAGTCCTGATGACATTTCGGGTGCAGAATCTAAGGAGATTTGAGAGTATCTGGGGCACTAAGATTCTGGGGCTGCAAGATCTGGCATAAGAGGAAACAGGGTCAGAGATTATGCTAACTGGTAAGGAGGAAGCATTTTCTAGATGGGATCTGGGGAAAACTGAGGGGGACGAGTTCTTGGAGGAATCAGTGGGAAGGAGTGCCTTATTTGCAAGAAGGGAGCTGATGAAGGTTGGAGGACAACACATGGATGGGTGGGGGTGGGTACAGAAGAAGACACAAGGTTTGAGGGTGGCACAGTGCCTGATGGACTGGAGGATCGGATTAAAGGAGGGGAGAAATCTTAGGTGTGGGACTGGGGTGTTAAACTGGAATGCAGGGTCGAAGGCTGCCCAGATTCAAACACAGATGAAAGGATCTGTGCAGGGACTTGGGGCGCGTGAGTGAAGAATTGGTGAGGGTTGCAATATGGAGCCCTAAAGACTTGAGCTCCGTTCTGTAAGAGGGTTGGCAACTGGACTTGGGGTGGATTGAATGGAGGGGTGGGGGATGTCATAACTGGGCTGTAGAATTAAAGTACTCTGAATAGATGTGTGAGTTGGTGTCATGGGCTGCTAAAGGCGTTTAAGTCTCCGGGGGAAACAAAGAGGGTTCTGGGGATTCCAGGACCTAGAAGTGATGTATGAAACCATGAGTGCGTGAAGCGTTCAGGGGGTTCAGCAACAGATTCTAAATCCTGAAGGAGCCTGACTTTCTCTGAGAGAGGCTGACTCTCCCTCACTTGTTAATCAAAGACCCCCTTTCATGATCCCTGTGAAACCAGGGCTGCTGAAACTGGTAGGACTGAGGGGAGAAGAGAGTGGTCCAAGGGGGGACGAAGCAGTAAACTGTTGAAGGTCATCTACCTAAGCTTCGTTTGCCTGTCCCTCCAAGCGGAGCTAGCAGATGGTATGTGAGACCTCCAGGGAATGAGTGGAACATGATCTCAGGCCCTATTTTCTTCATCAGTTAAGTAGGTTGAATTAATCCTATATAAAGTCCATTACAGCTCAAAGAGGCAGCGGCTCTGTGGATGAAGTGTTTGGGCCGGGAAAGAGACAAGGAGAACTCATACGTATGGAGCATTTGGTCCTGTGCCAAGTTCTGGAGCAGTGGTTCCTAAGCAGGGCGCTGTTATCCCCCTGGGGGCACTCGGCAACCTGGAGACATTTTTGGTTGTCAGAGCTGGGGTATGGGGTACTACTGGCCTCTAGTGGGTAGACACCAAGGATGCGGTTAAACATCCTTCAGTGCACTGCACAGCCCCTACAATAAAGAGTGGTCTGTCCCAATGTCGACAGTGCCAAAGTTGAGGAACCCTGCTGTAGAGTGGGGTACCTTGGACTCAAATCCTAGCTCTTTCCATTCCTGACTTGGTAATCTTGATGCTGACTTAGTTTTCTTAACGGCCCTACTAAGTAGGCTGTACTATATCCAGTGTTACTCACAGGGAAACTGAGACATAGGGAGTGACTTGTCTCAGGCTCCCATAGCTAGGGTGGCAGGGCCAGGTTCCTGCTCAGATCTCTGAAACCCGGTATATTCCTCCTTTCCTTGCTTTGTCCTTGCTGGGCCTGCTCGGTCTTACTATCTGAGCTGATACCCCTCTAATGAAAGGATTTCCCAGTGAGTATTGCTGAATATCAAATAATCTATCTGATTAGGCAGGAAGTAGCCCTGAACTTTGCTCTTGATTTGCTCGTAGACCAAGACTGGTAGATAGATAAGGGAAGGAGCTTTGGGTTAGCAGACTGGGTGAAGTGGGAGAGACGAGAAGGTGAGGTGTGGACGTCACTGGCCTGGAAAAAATACCTCATGGAATGGACTGAGGCTGAAGACAGTCATAATTATTGTCCTGAATGATCTCTTTTATCTTTTGGCTTCTTTCCTCTGGGACAGAATAGCAGTATTTGTTGTTTCGGCTCCAGGACTAGCTAGAGCATTGCTGAAGCCAGTTCAGGAACATTGTAGAACTGGATCAGAAGGCAAGAGACTTGGCTGGAATATTGATATGCACCCTTAGACTTAGACGGAATATTTACACACACCCTTAAGGACAATATGTAATGGAAGCTGAATCAGCCTGGGAATCAGAGGCTTGAGGTCCAAAATCCTTCCTCTGCTGCTAATTGATCTTGGGCACGTGTTTGCCCTGATCAGCTGCGATCTTGCATGCTTATTTATATGCATCATTTCTGTTAATCCTGTCAGTTATCTGGCCAATAATCCAGGTGTTATTCCCCATTTCACAGATGAGAAAAGTATTAGGTGGAATGATTCACCAAGGTTAAATAGTGAATGGCAAAGCAGGGAGGCATGCCTGGTTCTGTCTGACTCCCAAGTTACATTTCACTCGTTTTATTACAATGGGTTTTTCTAGCACTACAGGACCCACATGCTTATGTCTGGTGAGCAGCTGGTAGTCAGAAATTTATAAGACCCTTGAGTGCATCCCTGTCCATGCACACCGCTGTGAGGCCTCTGTGTCACTTCCCCCACAGTGCGCCTCTGGTCAAACAATCAGATTCCAAGTCATTCCCAGGCACAGTTCACCCACCTCTCAGCCACACTGCCCGGAGCCTAATCAGCTCAGGAGCTGTGACATCTTTTGAGATGATGTGGTTTTATGGCTGGGAGTGGACATACTTGGATTTGAACTTCAGTTCTATTGTTTATCAGCTTTGAGACCTTGGGCAGATTGCTCTTCTTTGAGCCTTGGTTTCCTTTATTTATAAAGAGGAGTAACACATACTTTAAATAGTTATTATGAAAATAAGAGATACGGGTAAAAGGTGCCTGGCATTCAAAAAATGGTCATTTTACGAGAGGTTGCAATTATGAGAAGAAGGAAAGGAATGCTGAGTGTTGCTTCACCAAATTTCAGTGACTCTGAGTCGTCCCGCACCAGGCTCCCCAAACAAACTCCCATCCCCTCTTGTGCCTTTCCCAGGATCTGCTTCCTGAACCGTTCATCAGAATTTCAGGGTTAAATTACTGTGTGTTATAGGCAGAGAAAGGAACTGACGGAAAGTCGAGTGGGTCAAGATGAGTTGGGGGTCCCCTGAGAAAAGACCATTGCTTTTTCCCTTGTCCTACAGTCTCGGAGTCACATTGGCAGCACTGATCATTACCCACATGTGTGTGGCAGATGCCAAGGAACCTTTGTAGGTTCGTCTGTTTTAGAGAAAAAGTCAGAGAACAAGCAAGCATTTTCCTAGCAAACTATTATTGATTGAACCTGTCGTTGACATATTTTAGCTAAAGCTTCCTTTCCCATAAGCATTTTCTTCTGGGGTTTCGTGTGTCCCAGACTGATACAGCTTTGAGATCAGTCCTGTGTTTCCCTACTTGTCGAGTCTATCCTCGCTGTTTGCAAGGTGCCTTAAGTGCCCTCAGTAAACTTCAGAATCCCCTTCTACACAGGACAGGGTGTCAGGTGGGGTCCTCACGGACGTCTTTAACATCGGCCCTGCTCGCCACTCCCAGAGGGTGCCCAATGGTGGCCTGGAGATGGTTCTGCACTTGACTAGCATTCCATTCAAATGCAGAAGGAACAAATGCAGTTTAGGAAGCTCTCATGAAAGGAAATGGAATAAATGAGCCTTACAAAAAACCCAGTCAAACCAGGGCAGTGTACTTGTCTTCTAGTTTTTAGGTGAGGACCTCTGTTGAGGTCTGTTTCTGCTCAAAATTATATCACCAGTGTTTTCTTAACTCATAGTGGGTACTCGGTAAAGTTTTATTTCATTACCAAAATTCTCCAGTTTTGCTCATAGCTTAAACCCCGCCGCAAGGGGCTGATAGTATAGGGAATAGAGACATCTCGAAAACTGCGCCTTGGTGGGAATGCAAGCATTGGATGGAGATTGGAAACCTTAGGTCATCTCTAATCCTTTTATTCTGAGATCAGGTAAAACAATCTCCAAGGAAGGCTCAGAATGTTTATTTTTGACATGTGTGTTTCTGATATCTTGAGTATGGTCTGTCTGCCTATTGAAAAGGGCCTATTCGCTTCTTCTTATTGGCTGTGTGGTGGCCGCCGCTGCCGCCGCTAAACAACTGTCATTTACTGCACAATTAATTGTACACCTTGCTTGGTATTGCCCTAAGCACTCTATAGATACAATCTCATTTAATGTTTACAAGGCCCTTGTGATGAAAATACTATTTTGAAGCCCTTTTTTCTTAGGTAAGCCGAGAACTAGAGAGGTTAGGGAACCTGCCCAGGGCTCCACGGTAAGGGGTACAGCTGGGATTCCAACCTAGAAAGCGTGATTCCTAAGCCCACTGTTCTCGGTCCTGCCATGTGATTAATGAGGCCCTGATTTCTCTCCCCTGTTCTCAGTTTACTCGTCTCGCCTACTCTTTGAGATCACTACTCATTATAGCATTCAAAATCGAGTCCCTGTAAGACTGAGCTGCAGCAGCTTGTTTTCTAAGCAAGAGAAGTTTTGGATTTATTTGCCCAAAAGTTTCTAGCATGCCTCTTTGGTGTCCTCAACCAGATTCCTTCTGAGCTTAATCTTTCTATGCCGGGAGAGGAAGGAGTCTTCATCCTTTCAAAATGCAGTTTGTAAACTGAAGGTCTTGCTATGCCAGTACTAGCTATTATTAGTTAACGCTCTTCCTGGTTGCCATTTATCATAATTTCAGTAACAGTCTTTCATTGCATACCTGCCAGTTTCCAGGCTAAGCACTTTTATGTGCATTATCCCTAGTTGTCATAGTAACTTTTTTATAAAATTAGAAAACACATTTAGTGGAGCTGAATAACCTGTCTACTGCCCCACAACTTGTAGATGACAGTGCTGATGTGGTCCCTGGTCTGTCTGCTACCCTGGCTATTTATGTCACGGGCTGGGCAAAGCCCGATGGTGCCAGAAGTGGCTAGATCAGTCTAAGCTTTGCCCGTAACATTTTCCTGACTCAGGGCAGCTGTGGCAAACACATCTTAAGGGGCAGGTTTTCTTCTGGAGCTGAAGAGCTGGGCGCACATCATCTAGGATGTGCAGCGCTGGCCGTGAGGTCAAAAGAGTGGGGTACACAGAGGCAAGGGGAGGCATCAGAAGCTGACAGTACATAGCGAAGAGGAAACGTCGGAAGTTTCATGAAGTTAGCCAGTACTACAAATGACATGTTGGGGGTTCATTTTGATTGGTTGTAGATTTTATTGCTGGCAGAAAATGGGTGGCTAACTTAAAGACCTGGGATGGTAAGACAGGCTCTTTCACCTGTGTCGTCTTTTCAGGGAAACCAGGTTTGAGTGGAGTTTTCCATCTGAATCACTCTCAGTATGAACCATAACGACCAGCTGTGCCCTCCTGGAGGAGAGCAGCCGTGTCCGTCTCTCACCTAGCTTCCGTGCGGCCAGGATCCTGCACCCACAGGTCACAGAAATGACTGGGAGGCACGGTTCAGACTGCTTTCAGGTCTGAGGGAGGCTGCCCCCGTGCCTGGTGCTTTACTGATGGGAACTCACGTTTCCTTGGCAAAGCACGCAGGCTCCGGGGAAGGAGTCCTGGACGTTGTCTCCGCCGCCAAGCCCAGGGAAGGTGCGGGCAGCTGAGATGACCTCGAGTGTGGATGTGGGCAGAGTAAGTACATTTTTTAAAGTGGATACCTTAGACTGGGAGGCAGGATGACTGAAGGAAATGATACGATATTCCAGCAGCCCAGGGAAAGAATTTGTTGGTATTTTTACAAGTTGGCAGACTTGTTTAATTAGCTGATCCGTAGTGCCAGCTCTGGGAAGCACAGATGTCCCTGTGCTGTGGAAGGTAACATGCTCTGCATCCAAACACCGAATGTGGCCCTCAGCCTGTTGTCCCAGATACTGGGAGGACTGAAGCTGTTTCACTGGTTTAGACCTGAGGTTTGTGTGGATCCTGAGTTTAGGTTTCTGTCAGTTTTTCTATACTGTTGTCCCCAGACTCGTGGCATTTCTGAATTCAGCATTCATAGTTCCAGATATTTACCTGAGACCTTACAGGTACATGACATGCGGTAATATGTTATTTTCTTGAGGTATGGATTTGAGTCGTGACAGGTTGTCACGCTGCTGTGCAGGAGTCGGTCACTCAGCTTATGAAGCACACAATAGCAGCTAAACCTCATAATGTTGTTCCTTTTTCTTTGTGGAGAAAAATATATGCTATACGGCTGCATTTCCCAGAGTACAGTCTAGAGAACATTTGTTGCATGACAGTTAAAAAATACAGCTTGAAGTAGCGTTGGGTTAAGCAAAGTTGGAAATGTCTGTTGGGCAGGGTCGCGCCACGTCTGAGCTTTGTGACCTTGAGCCAGTTTTCCTGAGCCCTGGTTTGCTCCTCTGTACAACACAATAGCGGTGCCTACTTCTGAGGGCCATTCTGGGGATTAATGGGACTATATGAAGCATTTATCATGGTATCTGGCACACGGTAGGTACTAGATGTATACTGTTTCCTGTCCAGTAAAAGAGAACTAGATTTCAGGGAGGTGGGATTGACGTTCACTAAATCGTGCATCTGTCAGATTGCAATCCAAAGCTAACTGTAGGGGATTTTGTAATGTGTATCTCTGCGTTGACTCCCCTTCTGTGTGCCTGGAGAAAGAGTTTATGACATTTGCAAAGCTTTCTTCAGCTTACTGCATTGTCCTTAAAACCAAGTGGACTTGCCCTTCACCTCCTCCTTCTCCATGATGGTTGACCATCTGCACAGCATGAGACTGCACCAATGCCGCTGTCGGATTTGCATTTAAGCAGAGGTGAATTTACCTGTGTGCCTCACCTTGCCAAATCTAGTCGTTTTATTTTGGGATATAAAGTGACAATGACATAAGGCTGCAGAGCACTGCGATTGTGTGGTTCTACTTCATGAGCATATGTGGCTCGAGGAGGGTGGGAGTATTCATGGCATGTACTGTGTGAAGCAGGGGGTGTTCCAAGCCTAAAATAAGTTGTCTCGATAAAGCACGACCATATTTAAAGTCATCTGAGCCTGAGTCTATGGCTCTCATAGCTCCACCACCTCCCCAACCTCATCCACTCAGTTTATAAATCTCAGTGATTGTACTTCTACAGTATTGCTCAAATGCATCTTCTCTCCATTTCTACCACCTGCTTACTACTTCCAGCTCCCCAGTGCTTCCACCAGGCACTTTGCAATAGCTTCCAAACTAGTTTCTCAACCCTTTCCCTGGCTCCACTTGAACTTTGCACATATTAGTTCCCTGCTCCAAAACATGCATTGCTTCACTACACTCATCAAAATGAAGTTCAAAGGGCTCATTTTGGCTATGAAGACTTCTTATAATCATTCCCCAATTCCCAAACCAGTTAGTATAAACCCCTTCTATTCTCCCATAATTTTAACGTAAGGATGAGAGGAAAGAAAACAAATTTATTTAAGACCTCTTTGATGCTAAGTCAAGTCTTAGAGCCTTTTATACACTACCTATATTATTACCTCACTTAATGCTTGACTTGCCTTAACCTTACAAGGACAGATGAAGAAACAGACCCAGAACAGCTATGTGTTCTCTGTTCTCTTTCTAATTTACTGAAGTTCTATCCTTTCCCGTGCTTTCTAACCTTCCTTAAGACTGTGCCCTTTGCTCAGAGCTCCTTTCCCCATCTCCACATGTCTGTGCATCCTTCCACATCCCTATCAGATGCCACTTCCCCTCAGAACAGTCCCCTGTCCCTTCCAATTGGACTGAATTCCTCTGAGCCTCCATCCAAAACTTACTTTATAACTCATTTTTGATACCACTTTCTGCTCTCATTATTATTACCTATATTTTCATCTCCTATCCTGAAGTTCGAGCATCTGAAGGACAAACTTGTATTCTGAAAACCTCAGTATCTAGTGCAGTGCATGGTGCCTAGTCTTCAGTGGTTGGAAAGCTGAGTAGTCAGGAGGCGAGACAAATGGAAACTAGATGTATTTTTCTGATCCAATATTTTTTGCTAATCATCATAATTTTCTCTTTCTCTGGGTGATTCCTAGGTCCCCAAACGTGACACGATAAACTCTATATAACACACACAAAAGCCTTCCCCGCTTTTGTCCCCCGCTGCCTTGCTCATTTCATGACATGTCTCAGGAGGGTCACAGCTTCGGGGCAGCCTCCCCCGTCTCCTCCAGGTTGGGTCCGTCACTCCACCCGCTGTGCTCTGGCAGAAATGTGCATGTAATCCTTCTCTGCGCGTCACTTTTCTATGCTTTGCTGCTAATAGCAATCATGAGTTGCAGACAAAATGTAAAGATGATCACCAGCATTTATCAAGGTACCGCTTGTCAGGTGCGATACTAAGTGCACGACATTGGTTGTAGTATTTAACCCTCCCAGAGACTGTATAAAGTAGGCAGCATTATTGTTCCAGCTTATAGATGGGTGATGGTGAAACTGAGCTTTGGGAAGCATAGATTACTTCCTTCAGGCTGCACACCTGCCTAAGTGTCAGAGACTCCAGAACCTGCATTTTATCACTATGGGACGGATGCCTCGTCTGTTTTGTTTCCCTGTGTGTCGCCATCACGCAACACAGAGTGGACCTCGACAAATATTTGCTAAATAAGTGAATGACTGCACGAGTGACAGTAGCTAGTCTCTAACTGTTTCTTGAGTGAATTAATTCATACAGGCAGTGGAATAATGGCTTCTTTTTCTCCTTAGCAGTGTTCGACCTTCTGGAGCATGACTGGTGAGCTCTTCAGTTCCGGGCTGTGCTAGCGGGACCCTTCTCAGGAAGAGCAATGGCTGTGGCAGCTGCTTCTCACCTGAACCTGGATGCCCTCCGGGAAGTGCTGGAATGCCCCATCTGCATGGAGTCCTTCACAGAGGAGCAGCTGCGGCCCAAGCTGCTGCACTGCGGCCATACCATATGCCGCCAGTGCCTGGAGAAGCTGCTGGCCAGCAGCATCAACGGCGTCCGCTGTCCATTTTGCAGCAAGATCACCCGCATCACCAGCCTGACGCAGCTGACGGACAACCTGACGGTGCTGAAGATCATTGACACGGCCGGGCTCAGTGAGGCCGTGGGGCTGCTCTTGTGCCGGTCCTGCGGGCGGCGGTTACCCCGGCAGTTCTGCCGGACCTGTGGCGTGGTGCTGTGTGAGCCCTGCCGGGAGGCAGACCACCAGCCTCCTGGCCACTGCACACTCCCCGTGAAAGAGGCAGCGGAGGAGCGGCGCCGGGACTTTGCCGAGAAGTTGGCCCATCTGCGTGAACTTGTGGGGGAGCTGCAGCGGCGGAAGGTAGCCTTGGATGCCGTGTCCAAGGACCTTCAGGCAAGGTACAAAGCCGTCCTCCAGGAGTACGGGCACGAGGAGCGCAGGGTCCAGGAAGAGCTGGCTCGCTCTCGGAAGTTCTTCACAGGCTCTTTGGCCGAGGCTGAGAAATGCAACAGTCAGGCGGTGGAGGAGCAGAGTTACCTGCTCAACATTGCGGAGGTGCAGGCTGTGTCGCGCTGTGACTACTTCCTGGCCAAGATCAAGCAGGCAGATGTGGCACTGCTGGAGGAGACAGCTGACGAGGAGGAGCCAGAGCTCACTGCCAACCTGCCCCGAGAGCTTACCCTACAGGACGTGGAGCTCCTCAAGGTGGGCCACGTCGGCCCCCTCCAAATTGGGCAGGCTGTTAAGAAGCCCCGGACAGTCAACATGGAGGATTCCTGGGCCATGGAGGCTGCAGCCTCTGCAGCCTCCACCTCTGTTACATTTAGAGAGATGGACGTGAGCCCCGAGGAAGCGGGTGCCAGCCCCAGGGCCTCACCTGCTAAGCAGCGGGGGTCCGAGGCGGCCTCCGGTATTCAGCAGTGTCTCTTTCTCAAGAAGATGGGTGCTAAGGGCAGCACTCCAGGCATGTTCAACCTGCCAGTCAGCCTCTACGTGACCAGTCAAGGTGAGGTGCTGGTGGCCGACCGTGGCAACTACCGTATACAAGTCTTCACCCGCAAAGGCTTCCTGAAGGAGATCCGCCGCAGCCCCAGTGGCATCGATAGCTTTGTGCTGAGCTTCCTTGGGGCTGATCTGCCCAATCTCACTCCTCTCTCGGTGGCCATGAATTGCCACGGGCTGATTGGTGTGACTGACAGCTATGACAACTCCTTCAAGGTATACACCTTGGATGGCCACTGCGTGGCATGTCACAGGAGCCAGCTGAGCAAACCCTGGGGCATCACAGCCCTTCCGTCGGGCCAGTTCGTGGTGACTGATGTGGAAGGTGGGAAGCTCTGGTGCTTCACTGTTGACCGAGGAGCAGGGGTGGTCAAATTCAGCTGCCTCTGCAGTGCTGTACGCCCCAAATTTGTCACCTGTGACGCCGAGGGCACCGTCTACTTCACCCAGGGCTTGGGCCTCAATTTGGAGAATCGTCAGAATGAGCACCACCTGGAGGGTGGCTTCTCCATTGGCTCCGTGAGCTCTGATGGGCAGCTGGGCCGCCAGATTAGCCACTTCTTCTCAGAGAACGAGGACTTCCGCTGCATCGCTGGCATGTGTGTGGATGCCCGTGGCGATCTCATCGTGGCTGACAGTAGTCGCAAAGAAATTCTCCACTTTCCTAAGGGTGGGGGCTTTAGCGTCCTTATTCGAGAGGGGCTCACCTGTCCAGTGGGCATTGCCCTCACTCCTAAGGGGCAGCTGCTGGTCTTAGACTGTTGGGATCATTGCATCAAGATTTACACCTACCACCTGAGAAGATATTCCACCCCCTAGGGAATGAGAAATACAAGTTTCTTCCGTGCCCCAGCCTCCCTTCCCTTATTCCTCGGTTGCTAATCATCATAGGTGGTAGTACTGTGGAGTAGGCCTGGCCTATGTCCTCATTCCAGCTGGCTAGTCCTAGACTTTTAGAAGCTATTTTAGTTTTTGTTTTTATTTGCCTTCTCTCCCTCCCCCAAACTTAGAGCTTCATCAGATGGATTGCCTCAAACAGGACCCATGACGGGGTTAGCTGAAGTCTGATGAGAACTTAGGTACTTCCAAGGCCTCAGTAGAGAGCCTTTGCCCTGTAGTTGAAATCTGCCCTTGTATTGAATGCACCCTTGTTGACTCTCCTCTCTTTTGGATATGAAGGCCCTGGTCCACCATTTCCCTCCTATTTCAGTGCATTTCATCCGTGACACTTTCTCCTCAACTCTGCTGCACTCAGGGTGCGTGCTCCAGGGGGGTCTGCTCCAGCTCTCTGTGACGCTGCAGACCTCGTATCCTTGTGGCGTGGGGTCTCGGGTCTGACCACCGTTACCAGTGTCAAAGCTCATTTGCTTAGTGCCACCAAGGTGTTTCCTGCTGTCTCTGGGTGGTCTCTAATTGCAGATGTGACAGAATGGATTGACCCTCGTTGGTTGGTGTTGAAGGCCTTAGTCTGGAAGGTGCTTACCCTTTAAAGGATCATATGGATTGGAGTTACGCCAGAGCGCAGGCAGAAGGGGATAAACAATCAGAAATGCCAATGCAGTCACAGCAGACACTCTTGGATAGTCTCTGGAGCTCACCGATTCTCATCCCACCTGTCTCCACTGACCTGTGCTGAGCATTGTCTGTGGGACTGTGGGACATGGGCCGGCACCAGCAAGGTGGGGAGGGGCCGCGCCTCATTTCCGTAGTGAAACGGAATCGTCGGGTCCTTACTCTGTATTTTCCTCAAGTGAGTGTACAGTACTTTGTTTCTGGTTTTCCGTTCCTCTCTCAAGCATTAAATAATTGATAACCTGTTTCTTCATCTCTGGCATTCGTCTTTTAATTAAATATGGGATTTGTGAGGTGAGGAGATGGATAAATTGTGCCATGCTGTTTCGCTTCCATGTCTGACACTGCATTCTTTGAGAGTACTAAGGACCTGCCCAGCTGTAAATTCAGCCCACAGCACCATTATTTAAAGATCTGTCAGAGGGGAGGGGTGTTGAGGGCCGGATGAAAGAAGATGATGGGATTAAGCAAAACCCCATAAATACATCTGTACACACACACGCACAGATATGCAACACATAGACACAGACAACAGAGCAGTGATAGCCACAGGGAAGGGGGCGGGTGTAGGGGGAGGTGGGCGAAGGGGGAGGCAATGGGGGTGGAAAGACTTTGCTGGGGTGATGAGTGCACGATGCTGTGTGCAGACAATGCTTTACTGAGTTGTACACTTCAAACCTGTGTGATTTTATGAACACTGTCACCCCGAAATCAAACAAATAAATGAAATGAAATGAGAAGATGATCCAAATCTCATTCCCACACACACGTGGAAAGAACCAGCCCCCCGAGGTCTGCAGTCCCCCACACCCTGTTCTAAACGGAGCCTTCCACCATCTGCTCTGCCCTTACATCACAGCTCAGAAAAGGAAGAAGCCTTATGCTTCTAAGACCAGACGTGGGTGAGGGAATTTGTGACAACTTTCCTCAAGCTTTGGTGTTTACTAAGCAGTCTCTTGCTCTTCAGGTACAGGGCAGATGGCAAGCCTGAGAGCTATTACTTTGCTTTCATGGAGACAATTTGCTGAGCCGAGCTATTAAAAATTGTATATTTGGTGGTGGCTGTTGTTTTTGGCTTCTGTCGTAATCACTGCCAAAGGATTGGAAAGGAGAGAAAGTGACACTGAACTCGTTTGTCTTGTGCTTTCCACCTGGAGAAAGGGCCTGTGTTCTGATTATGAAACTGCATCTGATTTACAAAGACTGTATACTTGAGAGGAAACTGATCCAATTAAAAGTGCATCGCAAATGACTCTACTAGTTACCAGAGCTACTTCATCTGTGCTGGGGACTGACAGCAGATCTGTCTTGGCTCTCAGTGGGGGCACTTGCTGAGGCATTAACAGTGGCTGAGGCCTTTGGCACGTGGTTGCAGCTAAGAAATGGGCTGGCTTGATGTACACTGGGCTCGGGATCCTCTAGCTGCTGATGCTTTTGTAAGGAAATGCTATCACTTGGCAGTCAGCCCATAGGTCTGCCCATCTGCGGACTGCACTCGTGCCCGGGCCCTCAAGTAGGGCAGGCTTCTGCTGGCTCAGAATGGGAATCCGTGTGCTCTGAATGTGTTTGCTTCTCCGATGTGAATATTTTAAGCTGTGCTTAGTACAGTCAACTTTAGGTAGGGTAAAGTTGAGTTCTACCCTGTTGAGTAAATTGTAGAGTATAACCCCAAGGAACGTTTGCTCATTACAGCAGTGCCCTTATTCAAATAAAGTCTTGCCTGCAAGTCTGTATGTAAATAGATCAAAGAGTGGCTGCTCTGGTTGAGGCAGGCTTGTGGACCTGGAGCACACTTTAGCAACCCTCACCTGACCTGTGTGCCACTGCAATACTCTTGTGAATCTGCATAACCTTTTCTGAGAACCACTGAGCTACAGCACTGCTTATCTTCCAGTCCTACCTCATTAGCCATGTGGCCCATGGCCAAGTCATGTAACCCTTCCTCGTCTGGAAAATGTTGCAAATGATTCCTGTCTCCAGGAAGGGTGTAAGATGTGAGATCACAGATGTGAAAGTTCTCAGCATACTCAATAAATGAGAGCAATCACTGTCTTTTTAATTTTTTTTATAATTTGGGTGAGTTCTTAGCTTTTTTAAAAAAAGATTTTATTTATTTTTAGAGAGGGGGAGGAAGAAAGAGAAGGAGAGAAACATCAGTGTGTGGTTGCCTCTTGAGCGCCCCCGACTGGGGACCTGGCCTGCAACCCAGGTACATGCCCAGTCTGACTGGGATTGAACCAAAAGCGGTTTGCAGGCCAGCCCTTAATCCACTGAGCCACACCAGCCTGGGCACAATCACTGTCTTCTTTCACTGAGTTGTTCAAAAGAGTGTCGTGAAGCTGCCTGACTACTCCAACCAATACCTTCCATCTTCACTTTTTTGCAGATTCCTACTGGGCAACCAGAACCTTTCTCTGGCATCACCTCCCCCAGCCACAAGTCCCAAATATATCTGATCACCAGTTCCTTTTTACTATAGCTCTACCTATTTCACATTTCTCATACTGTATAAATAATTATGTTGCAGTTACTGACCCATATACCTGAGCTTTACTGAGGACTAACTTTAGTATTTAGCGACAAGCACATAACATAGTGTCTAATTTGGAGTATGTCCTCAGATTTTAATTGGCTCTTATTGACTTGACTTGATGGTGAGGGATCCTCCAGTGACCTGAGTCTTCCTAACACAGCCCCCTTACATTGGGTAAATATTCTCAGGCAAGCCCTTTTATAAGGTATACTAAAAAACAACCCGCCCCCCCCAAAAAAAAAACTAAAGGCAAACAAATGATTTACCAGTTGGTTAAGACCCTGCTTTCCTTTATCATTCTGAGTAGTTATATAGACTATAAGGTTTCTGGAGCAATGACTCATTCAATATTTATTGAGTACCTACTGTAAGCCAGGCACTGTGCCAGGTTTCAGAAAAGAAGAATGATAACTGATTATTAACGTGTCTACTTTCTCATAAATTATTTTCTCAGTACTTCTTGTCTTTAGTATTTGAAACCTAGTGTTGCACTGCCCTGGACTTCCTCGAAGGCCAGGCACAGGCAGTGTCTGAGAGACTGTGAGGCCCTCAGACGATGCATACTGCCGCTGGAAAGAGTCCACAGAGGGGCACTCCATTATTCCAGTCCGTAGCATAGACTTGGCTGAAGTCTCACAGTGTTCCTGTGGGCAGCGCAAATCATGCTTAAGTAGTGGTACTTTTAATCTAGGACTAATGAATGGCTTCCGAAAAGGGAAGTGTTACCCTGCTCTGCAGGAGGGGAAACGGAAGGCGAAGCCTAGCATGAAACTCAGGGCTCTCTAGCTTGCACCTGGCTAGGCTGCTGATTAGTACTCAGGATGTGCAGCCCCTCAAGGGATCTCCAGATAATTACGGATATGAAACAGGAGATGCCTGGATGAATTTTACAAGCATGGCAGTGATGAGCTAGGAGGCTGTTTAGCAAAATACACACTTAGAATCCAGACCTACGGCTTTATCTTGTCAATATCATTAATATTCATGGTACTCCGGCTAAGTCTGAAGTCGGTGAGGCAGCTCCAGGATCGACTGCGTGTATGTTCCAGTGGGAAAATCACCAGGCTTGGTTTGGGTCTGAATAGCTGCTCTGCCTCTTAACTAGCTCCGTGGCCCCAAGTGATCGCCACACTCCTGCATCAGTTTCTCTAAAATAAGGAGGCTGGACTTGAATATCACTAAAATCCCCTTGCGGCTCTATGGTTTTAATTTCTTAGCTACAATTGTAGTTGAGTTTCCCCCCAGTGATTTTGCATAATCCCCGCTGTGATTTTGTTGTGTTTACATTGCAGTAGCAGAAGGACCCTGGCAGCCCCACCCTGGTCCAGTTGCTTACTCTATCCCAACTAATGTGACCTTGGGTCATTTACTAGCCATTGTCACTCTGTCCAGCTGCAGTTTCCTCACCTTGTGAAATGAAATGGTAGCTTATATTTTAAAGGGCTGTTGCAAGAATTAGAAAATAATGGGATGGCATATGTAAAAGTATCTAATTCGGACAATTTCCTGAGGTGCTCAGAAAATGTGACTTCCACTGCATGGGGCAGAGGCTTCCTTCTCCTGCGGAGCTGATGCGCATTTTTCTGTTTAACATCAGGAGGAGATTCCTGATCTGCATTGGTGATGCAACTGCCCTGCTTGGCTTCTTAATTTAAAAGTCTATTGGAGGAAAAGGGTGGTTGCTGGAGGGGCAGAGGCAAAGCTCATTCTCAACAATGTATCCCAGTAGGAAGGTTCCACAGAAAACCTAAAGGCTCATTATTTCATTAAAATATTTAAACACTGAAGTATGCATGTTTAGCTATTTCTGTAAATGGCTAGATACTAACATAAAAGGATTTTTTTCCCTCCAGGTCAACATTCATTAACTCAAACAATTACAAAAATTAAAATAAACCATAAATCTCATGGTTAGGTTAGAGGTAATATACCATATGGTAGCTTACAATTTTTTGCAACTCTCTGGAGGAAGAAACTTATAAGTATGAGCAGGATAAAGAAAACTCTCCCCCCAACACCTCACCTGCCCATCAAACCATATCCAGTAACCAGCAAAAGAAAAAGAAACATGAATACAGGAAGAGGAAACACACACACACACACACACACACACACACACCTGAAAGAAAGGTCCACAATTCGACGCAATTAGAAATCCAAAGTTTGTTAATATCCTGACTTTAGTCCTGGTTCCCCTACTTATTAGCATGACCACAATGTCATTTAGCCTCGGAGCCTCAGTTTCCTCATTAGTGATAAAAATGATACTTTTTACTGCATTATTCTGAAGAAATAATGGATTTAAGTAGCAGACTTCCAGACATGTCATAAACTTTCAGTAGTGGTAAATATTTTTATATTATAATAAACTACATGGATCTCAAGGTTACCCACATTTTTGTGACAGAAGGGTTACATGAAACTAGCGAGGAAAAACTGTCTATTTCCCTCAAAGGGAAATCAGTTAGTAACTCGCTGAAATCCTGGTTAAAAACATGAAGAGTTTGTATGAGTGTGAGTATAAGTCAAATGCATGTCTTTCCTTATATAGACGAAACCAAGAATTTGCTTTGGCAATTGACTCAGTTTACCTGGTTACAATGCCATTGTGTATCTTCACACAATGTTCAGATCTGAAATCCCATTCATTCGTTTATTCATTTACTCATTTAACACGTATAAGGCATCTACTATTTATTGCTATTAGCAGCAACTATATGAGTAATGAATGAAAAGACGAATCGATCATGAATCCTGCAGTCAGGGAGCTTGTGGTCTGGCTGGAAAGATAAGGTATGTAAAAAAATAACACCAATATGCCAAAGAATAATATAAATGATATGAGATAGAAATGGAGTACCATGTGTCTGAGAAAAGACTACTTCTCGTGGGGAGGCCCTGGCCGCTGAAGGGCCTTGCAAACGCAGGGAGTCTCAAGGAGAAAGGTGCGACAGCACCGGGAAAAGTGAGAGGTTGGTACCAGCAGGAATTTCAAA